TCTGCAAAAACCAGAATATTTGATAAACAAAACGGAGAAAACAGCCAATTCGGCAGCATTCGCCTGTCTTGAGCCTGTACCCACACTGGCCATACCAAGCAGGTCCCAGTTCAGCCTGGGAAACAGGCATTTGAACAGGTCATGTAACTGTAATTTACAGGGAAAAGTCAATGTTTGTATAGGGCTTTCAGATAAATTAATCATTGTTTATATAATACTTTCATACAAATTACTCTGGCATAATATTTCATATTAGAAAGAAGCAAAAAATATTTATCAGTTTTCAGGTGGAATTTAAAAAAAAAAATCTTTATTTTCAACCACTAAACCCTTTCAAAAAAAGGGAAAACCCCTTTCTGATTCCTACAAAATTCCCTTGATAGGGATTTATGTGGATATTCTCTTTGGAAATCTCTGTATCTTCAGGTGTCTGGCCTCAGGGAGTTCTGGCTTGCAGATAGTTCCCAAAAGCCAGGGAATTTTATCAGAGTAACAAATGTTCTGCTACAGGACTTAGGATTTGATATAAATTCGTAAGAAGGACTATTTGTTGTAGAAAAGGGAAAAAGGAATGTGACTGCACTGAAAACATCTGATGTTTTATTTGGTTGTCTGAAGCAAATTCCAGAGTTTGTTACAACACAGACGCCAGTTTAGAACTAGTACTGACAAACGTATGTAGATACGTATGAAGTCCATTGCTTTGTAAGAGGATCCCACAAAATCCAATAGCAACAGCTAGAAGCACAACTTCGCTGGCTATTAATGCTGGTTGCCTGAATAAATGAGCACTAGTAATTCTGCCATGGAAAAAGTACAACTGTTTTGGGAATATCTAAAAAGAGCAAACTCATGAAAAAAACCCACCAAAATCTCAAATCCCTAAGAGATTATGAAGATCATCTGAGTGATCTTTCACATAAAAGCCCAGTATTCCTAATAATCCCTGCTGAAGAATTAACCTTTCCCTCAGCATTCGTTTCCTCTACCTAGAAGATGTCACAACTCTGCTTAACTTGATTTGATGGTTTAGTTTTGGTTTGCTTTTCCACAAATCTATACAGAATTTTTAAACATATTTTTTTAAGATGGAAGCTTTCGGTAAAAAGAAATCACAATTAACTATGGCTTTATATACTGAGCACAGTGCAGTGTATTAAGTGTCTTTAATACTGCCAAATAAGTGAGAACTAAACATGTGGTTCCATGTACTTTTGCATGGAAGTCAAGTAAAGGAAAAATATTTTTTAACTTGGATCATTTCACTGATGTGATGTACAATGCAACCTTAGAAACAGTTGCACATATCTGACTAAAAGGGATAAGGGACATGCAAATGAACAACCTTTATTTGGTTGGGGAGGGACCTTAGCATTCAGTTCACTTGGAGAAACAGGTACACCAGAATACACTCATAGAATATCTAGATTTGTATGGTCCAAATGTTTCTCAATCTGTTAAGAGTGGCAGGTAAACGGAGATGCAAGTAGCTATTTCTTCGGTAGCTATGCTCTGTTGTAGCCACACCCAGAAACATCACACTCAAATTAATTTTGTATTCTTTCAAGAACAAGTCTCTAAGTCTCATAAGCTCCTAGTACGTCCTCACATATTCTAAGATTTTAAGTCACAGAGCATTATCTCTTCACCTCCCAGCAGTATACCATGTTTCAAAAGAGGACTTACTTCAAATGACAAGGAAATGAGCATATGTATTGTGATCAAATCAAGGCATGTGTTTGCCCCATTGCTGGTAAGGTTAAATGAAGTAATTCCTGTACCTCTCCCTTTCTACACAAGGGAAGACTAGTTAATTAAAATTCACAAGGTAATCACAACTCAATAAAACTAACATGCATTTCTGCCTGTCACATTTACGTTTTTGCAATTAGGTGCACTGGGAAGTAACACAGAAGGTCACATTTTGCTAAAATCCAGTGATGTTTTCACAGCAACAAAGGATACAAAATGGGGGCATACATGTTTTAATTAATAAGAACAAGGCTTCTAAATGGCACACCATGAGTCCCTAAGTTACTGGCAGCTGTCACAGTACTTTACTGCTGCTTCCCATGCACCCCCCTCGTGGTCTTCAGGTGCCTTTCAAAATGCAATTTCTCACATCCTGTAGAAGAAATGATGTGCCCAGTGAACGGGCCTTGAGGATGCTGAGACAGAATTCAGTGAAGAATTGGCTTCTTCCAAGGCACAAGTCTTTGGTTATTTGGAACCTTGCTGCATGATCTTTTTTTATTTACACATCTGAAGAAAACAAAGAATCAGATGCAGTTGCAGTGCTGAAACTCACAAATAACTCTTCTGAATGTAGCAGAATGGCAGCTGGACTAAAACAGCTTTTAGTCTCTTACACTCTCCTCATGTTAGTTTTTAGCTCCAGTGTTGGCTTTCAGCTAAAATGTGATTCAAATATTTTGTTTAAAAAAAGGCCAGGGAACCTTTTGCAGCATTTTCAGAAATACTCAGCAAAATATCAGTTCTTATCAGAAAAGTCAACTTGCTGAATGCAGTGAATCAGTTGTGCTGATCAATAAACCAGACAGAAGACTATTAGCTCAATGCTTTTTTTAGCTATCTTTTTCCAGCTAGATATAGAAACCTGATCATCAAGCTCTGACCTCTCTATGTACAGTTCATTATATGACAGTTATGTTTTATTAATTTGTACTCCTAGAATAGAGATCCATGGAATTAAATATCCAAAAAAAGGTAAAACTTCCATGTGAATAGTGAATGTCTTATGTAAAAAAATGTAATAGGATGATCAATTTTTGGAAGACAGAACTACAGTACTGGCCAGACATCTCTGAAACTGTCTTTGTAACTAGGCTAAACAGGTAAGACACATCAGATACTGCAGTAAGTGAAAGAAAACTGCTTCTTTTTCAAATGACATCACAAGCCAGAACCTGGGCAGAATCAAAGACTACAAAGACTTGAAGGTGCAAGTGAAAAATACTGGTGCCCTAGTTATCTTTTATTCCATTCTAACAGGTAGAGAGGATTCAGCCAGAAATAGATGTATAATGCAAATCAGCTCGTGGCTTCATGACTGGTGCTGTCTTGAGGATTCTGGTTTTAATGACAATGGGGCATTCTTTGATGACTATAGCCTGTTAGAGAAGGATGGGATCCACCTGTCTAGAAGTGGCCAGCTTGCTGAGGGGGGCTTTCAAGTCACTCATGGGTGGTATCTGTAGTGGCATCACTCACGCCATCACATCCAACTTGGGAATAAGCCAGGCCAGCCAGACCAGCGATGAATGTTCCTCAGCTGTCTCCCAAGATGAGAACCAGAAAGCCAACCACCTCAAGAGTGTGTATGGCTGTCACGAATCTTCTTGCACCCCTCCTGAATAGTGTGCATGCTCAATTACCTCTCTGAAGTGTCTGTACACCAACACATGCAGCATGGGCAATAAACAGGAAGAATGAGAGATTTCTGTACAGTGCGGGGACACAATCTCATTGCAATTAGAGATACATGGTGGGATAGCTTGCATAACTGGAATGCTGTCATGGATAGCTGCACACTTTTGAAAGACTAGCAAGGCAAAATGATAGAGTTGCTCTTTGTATGTGAGAGTAACTGGAAGGTATCAAGCTCTGCCTAGGGGTGGATAAAGAATAAGACAAGAGGTTATGGGTAAGAATTAAAGGGCAGGCTGACATGGGTCTTGTGGGCATTTACTACAGGCCACCTTATCAGGAAGAGGACAGAGGCAGATGTTACTGCTAAGCCACTTTCCATTATCTTTGAAAGGTTGGAGAACAAGCCTATAGAGAACGAGAGGTTCCTGAGGACTGGCAAAAAGCCAGTGTCACTCCAGTCTTCAAAAAGGGCAAAAAGGAGGACCTAGGAAATTACAGGCCAGTCCGCTTCACCTTCATCCCATGAAAGGTGATGGAACAGCACCTCCTGAATGTCATCTCTAAGCACACAGAGGAAAAGAAGGTTATCAGGAGCAGTCAACATGGATTCACCAAGCAGAAATCACGCTTGACTAATCCAATAGCCTTCTATGATGAAATGACTGACTGAGAAGATGAGGGGAAGAGTGGATGCTGTCTATATTTCAGCAAGGCTTCTGACAGCCTCCCACAAAGTATTTATACATATTGCAATATGAAAACAAATCACAGGGGTTTTAAGCAAGTGCAAAGGGCCTTGTGACCTTTGAATAAAAATCGTCCTTCTACTTTATGTAATCAATCGTTTGCTTTAATTTGATTTTCTGCACATCCTATTTCTCTCCAGGGTTTCTGAGGACTATTCCCAACTAAGCAAGCCGCCTGGGGCACCGAACAAGCTGCCCTGAGATTACGGTGCATGTCATTTGTTTACAATCCTGAAGAGGGTAGAGTTGCACAACACACCGCTACATCTCTCCCAGAAACACGGTACTTCTGGGACACGTTCAACTTAGAAACCAGAAGACTGATTGATCTATGTCCATCACCTCTGTCACAGTATTAAAAGTTTAGGACATAAAAACAGCATGCAGAGTTCTGAATCTCACCTCCTTAGTCTTCCAAATAAGTTATTTAAATACATTTCTGTGGAATTTGCCACCATGTTAACAAACTACAGATAACTTACTTTCTGTCAGGTCAAAATCTATCAATAATTTTATAATTGCACTACATACAGAAATTTCACAGCAAAAGACGTGTGATTTCTAAGTAAAAGATGTTACCCCACTAATGAAACAGAGCAGCATTCATGATGTGAGCCACTCCCATTAACCAGACCTACATTTGAAGCAAATGCAGTCTAAATTACCAGCACGCATTCAGGAATCAGCTATGATTAATGAAGGCCAACAGGAAAAGTAAAACCACTACGACGTAACAGCATATTGAACTGTATACTGGCAGAGCATCTATTGCAATCCAAGGAACAAACCCTCCTGACTTAACATTCTCTATTTGGAAATATAAAAGTGTTTCTTAGCTCATTGCCAAACAGCTTTCTAAATTACCTGAATTCATTTTTATGCATTTCAGCTATTTTCTTCTCAAGTTTTTGTGACTGCTTGGGAAAAATCTTGAAATCGCTGATGTAATTCTCTGGGTGTTCCTCAGGATCATAATCACCAAGCTCAGCTAAACAGATCCAAAACACAAGAAAAAAAATACATAAATTCAATTTCAACATTAGTTAACATGAAAAAAAGTCAATAAATACGGTGTAATTCAAGATACTCCCATGATTGGTAACAATCCAGCATCTCTCAAGAAATGCTGCTTTAAAGAACCTATAGTTAACTGAAACAAAAAAAAATTCCTTATTAACTGCCACTTCAATCAATGAGTTTCAAGTGAAGTTCATGTTTATTAGCTGCAGCAGTAATTAGCGATCCTAAAGTACTTTCTGTGTCAGAAACATGCTCTGTAAAACAGAGGCACAGGTAATCTTTCTGCTTTAAGTACCTGTCATTCTGGTAACAGGCAGAACTGAAACAATGTACTTCAGATTCTCCACTTTTTTACACCGATTTACCCTAGCTGATATGTACTGGTTTAATTCTGTTCTAGCAGAGAAGCACAGGCTGTAACATTATACACACTCATCCACAGTATTTTATTCCTCTTCTAAAAGATGTGTCACTTAGGTACCCAAACATGGCATTTAGTGTTACAGCTTTCTAAATAAGCCTCTTTTAATAAAGTCCTGACACAATCTTGGTTTGGATACTCTGCCTTATAATGCACTAAGACCTTCATTCATGTTAAGGCAAAAGGAAGGGAACTTCCACACATATAATGTGCCTAATCAGACATCTAGTTATTTCTCTGTGTGCAATTCAAGACATATTCCTGTATTTCTAAGGAAATGATGGGGAGAGAAAAGGGAAGAATTAAGAAAAAATTAAGAACCTTTCTCCTTGAATTATGTCTACTCTTTTTCCCGGGGATTGCATCATTACAGAGGTCTTCCTTACCCTAAGAAAGGGCACTGAATGACACTTTATCCTGCTTAGGTCAAACGGAATAGGAATTTACATTCAGGATTCAGAACAGAATTTTGCTTTGTTTGTAACTGCAATCTAACATTAATGCCATAACTTTTCACTTAAATTCCAAGATTAAGGTTTTTAAGTTGCAGCTTGGTTTTAATTGGCTAAATGGCTGAATTACTTGAAACACTTTACAGTGCAGGTCAGCATAGGGAAACAGTGCGATGACAACAACCAAAAAAAGGGCTATTGTTAGCTATATTCCTGCAACAGTTTTGAGTTTCCTTTTATACTTAACATTCCTACCAGTTATGTATTTAAAAATGCCCGCTGCTTGTACTTACCTTGGACAATACAGGCACCCAGGTAGGCAGCATCAGAAAAAGAACACAGCAAACGGCCATGGAAAATATCCCTTTTTATTTGTAGGTATAAGAGGTACCTGAAATATAATTAAAAAAAAAAAAAAAAACCAGGAAACTGTGTGGCATCTTTTTGTAACACATTTAACTTAACAATGTGAAAACAGCTGTATGTCTCTCTGAAACCCTTCTGGATCTCTCAGTTGCTGCTTTAAATGGCAGGAAAAAAGAGGCGAAGTACAACCACAGGGAAAACTAGATGTAAGACAAGAGATTTTTCTCAGTAACAATGAAATAATGACAGCAGAAGTAATAAAACCCCACTAACAGATAGCACGGAAAGTACTTTATCTAAAATGTACACCTGTTACAATGCTCATCAGTAATCTGAAATAAATTACAGTGTGTTTGCTTGAGCACACCGCCTCTCATTAAATGCAGGTACACACAGGAAATCTCTTGCTCTGTCACTGGACACAAAATAGCACATTGACCACAGTGCAGAGGATTTCTTTCCTTTTCTGGTTTTTAATCTGCTAAGAACCCTAGATGAAGTTTTGAGGTAAAAGCAACTACCTGAGGCCCAGGAAGCATCGGGCACAAGTGACCTGCCTGGAAGAAACCTGTCCCATTCCTCTCAGTGCTGTTCTACCTCCAGGAAGGACTTGGGAGAAGAAAACAATAGCCTCCTTCTACCCGCCCTCCGACTCCTACCACAGAGCAGCATTGTTTCTAGTAGCAAGAGTAGAAGGGCAGCCACAAGGCCATCACTGTCTCTCCCTTTCTCCCCTAGACAGCAGCCTCCCAGAGATGGACCAGCTTACAGGCCAGTGACTCACTTGGAGCTCCTTTCCCACCCACCTAGCTAGTTACGATTCAGCAGCTTCACCCCTGTGGGAAAATTAAACCACTTCAGCATTGCTTAAGCCAGATAAAGTCAACTATTTAGAGGGTGCTATAAGACTCAGTGGCTTCTGCCAGGGGCTTCAGGACATTCCTTGATGCTACCAGTCCTCTCCAACCTTGAGCTACAGTGTAGACAATAAAAATGTGCTTTATGAATAACACTGATGTCAGACATATTTTGCCCAAGTTACTTTGATCTGTGTGTACCATAAGCTCCTGCACCAAGTATCTTATCTGAAGCTTAAAGTGCATTTTAGATGTAAGACTTGAAGTAGTATCTACGTGAAGAGCAAGAGGAGTCTTCCTCCTTTTCTTGGATCGTTACTAATTGCTACATAAATATGAGACAGTTACCACAGAGAAAAGCAATTTGTTCTCATTGTGAACACATCCCTTTATTAAAGTATTAAAAGTTTCTACAGAACCCTTGCACTTCAAGACCTTTTTATTTTGCAAACTCCTTTTTTTTTCCTGTAATTAGTGTCCAGTAACAGCTCACTAATTCACTGCCATGATTGGGTCCTGCTACAGTACAAGCAGTTCCCAGAGGATAACTCTTATCAGGATGCACCAAAGGCCTCAATGAGATGCAGTAAAAATTCTTGGTCTGCAATAACAGTAGTCTGCAATTTCCAGACTACTGGAAAAGTCTCAGTATATTGAAACAAATATCGTACATAACCTGGGCAAATGAGCAGTCCACATCCTAAAACGTTTGGTAAGTCTTTCAGGGTGAAAAACTGGGTTGTGGTTCTTCAGAGCTACCACTAGACTGAAGTCAGTTCACCTTTTAAGAAGTGCCCAAACTAGCCACCTGTGAAAAGGCATCCCAAGATTTCAAGGATGGCTTGTTACCTGACCTATAAGGTCAAAACATCTCCACAACACTTGTGGCTCCTGAGTTTTAAAATTACTGTAATGACATACAAAAGTAAATAGGCTTCTGGAAAAGAATACTAACCTACTGCTCCTGACCGACATTTGCAGACATGAGGCTGAGATTAGAACTAAGAATTTCAAGTCTCAGGACTATACCAGGTCTGACTCTAGAGCTGTACTGATGGAAGCAACACTATGAACTCTAACTTTTCCATTAATATTTTGGTATTTCAAGAAGATAAAATAGTTTTGAGGTAATTATTTCCCATGTATCAGAATTGGGAACCAATACTTCACACCCTGCATCTATTACAAGACCATCTATTATCTTCAAAGCACAGGGAGAAATTGAAAATGTTCCAGAATTGACTCAAAGCATGTACTCAGGAGTTGGGCAGCATCTCTCCATCTCCCTGTCAGATGCTATGCAATAAATCAGAAGTTAAGATTTCTGAAGTGAGATGGCAGGGAGTCCCTTTCCCCCTCCAATATACAGCTATTTTATGAGAATAAACCTGAAAACACACAGACATTGATTCATTAGAATCAAATCCCCCCCTTCTATTTTTTTTTTAATAATAAATACAGCCATAAATACGCCAGTGTGTGACCGATCACCAAGATAGCACACTGGCACTTAGGATCAAAGGCAACAGCAGCAGCATCAGAAACTCCTCAGAATGAGGGCAAGAACTCATTTCTAGGCATTCCACTAAAATTCTGTGTGGATGAACATTGGAGTCTGGGTTGGATTGTGCATACTTGTGGCATTTATAAGCAAACAGGTTGCTGCTGATCAAAGAGGATCAAAGTTCCTCAATGTCGTTATTCAATTTCTGCATCCAGAATAGTCTCAAGCCATCTGAGTTAATCTTGAGCAAGAAATGCACAGGTTTATTTTCCCTGTAAGAAATGAGTTTATTGTGTAAGACTGCTTGCAATCTGAAACTACCAAAATTTGTCAAAAAATACTCCCCAAAGTTGGTTTTACTACAATATAAAATAATGTATACTCTTTCATCTAAATTATCAATATATGCATTTTTGCCAATTACATGAAGTTAATAACAATGTATTATTACCCATTTCCTCCAGTTAAATCACTGGCTCTGCAAGTTGTTCAGAATTTAAAAAAAAAAAATTAAAATAAAATGGACAATTAAAAAAAAAGCAGAAAACTTCCATTATCATTTTTCAGTAACTTCAGCATAATGTATTTTTCATTGTCTTGTCTCCCTAAGATAACAGAAAATACTTCCTTTCTGTAACAATTAGGAAAACAGAAATACATATTCAATTTTTGCTGAGAGGTGTATTAACAGAAAATAGATAAGAGTAATCATGGGATATATAACTGAAACAGCACATAAGATACAATTTTAGGGAAAAGAACATTTGTGCCTCAAAGTTGATTTCTTACCAGTGATCATCCTGGGATGACAGAGCTGAGCACAAGCTTCTGTCACAAACGTGGGCCACAGATGTTATTCATCTGTCTTTGCTTTAAAATATAGCATATATATGTAATCTATAAAATATATAATCCCTAGTCCTTGCTAGTCTCAGGAAGAAGCTCTGGCTACCCTCCCTTGCATGAAAGGGGTTTAGCTGTTGTCTCTTCACAGTATCATAGTATGTTAGAGATTGGAAGGGACCTCAAAAGATCATCTAGCCCAATCCCCCTGCCGGAGCAGGAACAATGGTTCATGTACCTTCCCATTACACTAACAATTTTTAAAACAAAAACAGTGACGTTTATTTTTTCTGTCACTAAGTTCTGTTGCATGCATTTCACTACAATTCATGCATTCACTATAATTAAATAGTCCAAAATTGTACTTCCAAAGAATTATTTGTATGAAATACTAAAGTACAAAAAAAAAAAAAAAAGAAAAGAAACATCTCCAAAACAGAATGCGGGAGTCAAGAAGGCAAAAAGAGGTACAGAGCACAGTTCACAGTGGAGAGTGGAGAAACTGTTAGATGGGACACAAGACAAGCACTTACACTCCTAAGGAAGGCAGAATCAGAGTCTGAATATGTTTTCCAGAGACTGCCCACACAGCAAGCTGTATGGGATGCTGTTTACCTACAAAGCAAGAAGGGCATTTTGGAACAAGACTAAGAGACTAATGAGTTCTCTGAAATGAAGATCTATGCATTTTGGACTAAAAGCTAATCTTGCAAGCTTTGCCAGAGGTTGGCTCAACCTCAGATATTTCCTATAATCCTGACAAAGTAATTTATGTCCCAGGTGAGCAAAGACCTACGAATGTATACCCGAGTATTGAAATCAGTAAGGTTTTCGCATATGCTTAAAACTGCCTACACCTACAGAAATAACGTGCAAAATCAGATTTCATTTTCCTGTTTCTTGTATCCTTCTACCACAGCTGTTTTTTCCAAGCCCTGGCACAACTTTGTAGCCTGATTTACAGTCCTAAGTACCAGCAAGCTAGTAAACTTATGCTTCAGTGCTTAGATTCTATCATTGGAATAACCTCATTTCCATCTATTATCTGTTTGCAATACAGATGACTCAACTCCAGGTTAGCCAAGCCTTTCCTGCAACTGCAGATGAAGGGTCAGCAATATCTATCCTTGGTTTAAGGAGGTTTCATGACCCCCAGAGATCATATTCCTAACTGCTTATCAGTCAATTTATTTACTGACTTTTATCTATTCTATTTTTACTTATCTGTTCAGTGATGTTCACTGAGGCAGGAAAGCTTTCCTGATGCCAAATTTTGTGCATTTTTTCTCGTGTTCAAGTAACTTCACTCCTTTTATTCCAGCAACAAGCATTTTTCCCAGTGTTGTCGCAGCCTTTCTAATTGAAGAACATGGTCACCTCAAGAGATATAGCAATGTTTCAAAATTGTTATCACAGCGAGGTGTCTTTGCACTGCTCTTTCCCATGCTACTGTGCATACTCAGGTGCAGAGCAGCAGAGGGCAAATGAACGTCTTTACAATATCCCTGGACTGGGTGCCCTTCTCTCGCATAAGAATTTATGATCATTTTATGTGTATTATTCTGGACACTAACTGCATATTCCCTCTCCTACAGTAGATATCAAGTACACCGCAGGAACACTCGTTTCTTTAGTCTATGAATCTAACCTAAACACTAACTACTACATAATAGTATGTAATACCACAACTAAGAGAATGATCTTTTCTATGCTTTACAGTACCACCTAGATAAAAAGGCTAATAGAAAAATAGTTATATTCTCTAAAATTATATTGCTTGTCTACTTAATGATATTTGAGGAGTGTTTTGATATTTTATAA